AACCTACTAGACTGTGAGAGAATAACTTTCTCTTTGTTAAAGCCATCCAGTTGTGGTATTTCTGTTACAGCAGCACTAGATGACTAACACACTCTGTAAACTTTCACCTAAAGCAGAATAAAAAAAATTTTAAAAAGCAAGGAAACTCTCCATGGTCCGGCCCCTGCCAGCTTCTCCAGCTTCATCTCATGACCCTCCCCCAACTCCAGCCATATCTAATAACCAGCACCTTCTCCAAATAGACCAGGCGTTTCATGCCCATACTGTCCCCTCTGTCTGAAGTGCCCTCCCTCACCTCCACAGACATGCACCCTCTCGTCTTTCACCCTTCTGCAGTATTTCCCGATCTCCCTTCCGTTCCATGTGGCATCATGCTCCCTATACTGTGGTGGCTAAAAATGGACTCTGGAGCTGGACTGCCTGGGTCTGAGTCCAGCTCCGCCATGTACCAGTCAGGCAACCTCGAGCAAGTCATTTCTGTGCCTCAGTTTCCCTCTCCATAAATATAGAGACGATAATAATAGTACCTACTGAGGGCTAAATGAGCAATTTCATAGACAGAGCCTGACACGTCAACTGGTGTCAGCTACTATTCAAACAAGGAGCCCCGGTGGGACAGTGGTTAAGCAGCTAATTGAAAAAGTCAGTGGTTCAAACCCACCAGCCACTTTGTGGGAGGAAGATGTGGTAGTCAGCTTCCATACAGATTACAGCCTTAGAAACTCAATGGGGGAGTTCTATTCTGTCCTATAGGGTCGCTATGAGTCAGAATCAACTCAATGACAATGGGTCTGGTTTTTGATACTATTCGAACACTCTGCTGTGCTTTTTCGTTTCAATGTCCAGGCTGTGAGCTCCCTGAGGGAGGAACCCTGGCTGCTTCAGGTCTGTATCCCCAGAACCTACTATAGGACCTGGCAGACAGCAGGTGCTGAGTAAAAATGAGGTGGATGAGTGAAGAAGGAAATGGTCACGTGGTGGGCAGGCTATGTCCTTCCTTGGATTATCAAGGGCAGCAGCCCCTTTCTGCAACCCGCAGCGGGATCCTTTCTGCCACCCTCCACCAGCCACGTTTCTGGAGCTCTCCTGGGTGAGTTAGCACTTGGGGAGCAAGTGACCCCAGGAGAACTAAGGAGGTTACAAACGACTTGACTGAACAGTCAGATGGCTCCTTTATTTCCTCTCACAACAACATCCCAATTCAAATGGCAGTTAATACTTCGATTTATACTTCCTCCTACATGACCTCAATTGCCCTGTCCAGCAGCCCCCCAAGGAAAGAAGGATGGCACTGTCTCCATCTGACAGAGTTCAACTCTGGCCCTGACAGAACAGGAAGAAGGACGTGAATGTGCTCACACGGGCTGCTGAGTGGCAGAGCTGGGAGCAGACCTCGGTCTCTTGACACCCAGCCTGCTGTCTTCCACCCCCTCTACCTCTCAAGCCCACAGCAACTGCAAAACCCAGAGGCCCAGAAAGTGTGGCACACAGGCTCAGTCTCTGCCCAGTGTGAGGCCATGGATGGAGTCCTGGTTTTGCTAAGAGACTCCCGGTGGGTGGGGGAGCCCAAGTCAGCTCAGCACTAGGTGCTCAGTTGATCCTCCCTACTTAGCCACCCCCCACCCAGTCAAGGTCAGATTGGCCTGATGGAAAGGATGTGTTTTCTAGGGTGGTCATCAGTACTTGCCACTCTGGCTACCACCAGACATTCACAGCCTTGGTCCCCATTCGGAATGTGGTGACAGCAGTATCTTGTCAACGCACCCCCAGCGGAGTGTGCAAATTTCCCAAAAGAGCAGGGTTCCCCCTTGTGCCAAGGCCCACTTGCTGCTTGAGTGGTTGGGGGAAAGGGGTCCTCAGAACTTTGTAAGTACTGGGGCCTTTGGCTGAGACTCCGGGAGTCTGTTTTAGCTGTTGCTGCTCAGGACGCTGCACACAATTGTAAAGCAGTGGCCAAGGGAAAAATCAACAGTAAAATAATTAGCTTTGACGAGTCACTCCCATTCATCTCCCTTCTCTAATACTCATTCTTAACAGCCAACAAACTTATCAGTATCGTCATTACTATCACTAATACTAATGAGCATTATGCAGTGCCTGACACATAGTAGGTACTAATATGGTGAATGATGGAATGGATGAGACCCATCACTCATGAGGCTGGGATCCCCATTTGCATGGCAGTCCTTGGCAGGCTAAGCAGCAGGTACTAATCTGGGACAGAGGATACAAACATGAACACAACATTGATCCTCACAGTCCCTCAACCTCTCTGGGCCACCACTTCCTTCAGTGTCAAATGAGGAGTGAGTTAGTTCTAGGTTTCCAACACGCAGTTCTTGGGCCCATGGAGCTTATTAGGAAGTTAGTAACAGTCCTCACAGTCTCATGAAAATCACCCTAAGCCTTCCCCAGGCTTTACCCACGTGCTAATAATCTTTCTTTGCTTTGGGCTGCATTTCAGCACCTCTCAGAATGTTAACACTGACTCCTGTTGCTGAGAAATTCTTACTAGTAGTTTGCCTAACAGGAAAATTTTCCCGTTTTGCTAATAAGAACTTAGAAGCAATAAACAATAAATACATATCCTGGCTGTGAGAAAGTCAGGAGCCTTTTCTAGGTGATGGCTCCTTATGAGGTTTATCACTAGATCGTTCTAGAATCCCATGTAAATCAAATCCTATCCCGGGGGCGGGTGAAGGGACGCGGAAACTGCGGCCTAGCTCTCTGCACCCCTGGTTCAGAAGATTTCGATTCCCGGGTCCGAGCCTGCCCTGCCCGGAAAGTTCCAAGCCCGATTGTGACGTCAGCCCGTTGCCATGGCAGCGAAGGCAGACATTCCGCGGTGACCTCACTGCAGAACTAGGCAGCTGTCACATGACGCGCGGGCAGGAGACCGGCCGGGCGACGGCGGGCCACCTGTTCAATGAACATGGAAGTCCGGCCCCACCCAAGGCTGGGGCCCTACCGGGTGGCGGCTTCGGGCCGGACGCCGAGCTGGCCGGGCGGCCTACCGGGCCGCGGATTCCCCGGGCTCCATTCACCCGGCGAACCGGGGGCCGGTGCTGATCCCGGGCGGGGCCCTGCCCCTCCGTCCCACGCGCGGGGATTTGCCTTGGGCTCCCTTCCCTGGCCCCGCTGCAGCTCCGGGAAGGACAACCACGCCCGCGCTCCCCGACCTGCGCCTCCCGACACCCCGACTCTGGCTTTCGGGTGGGCGGGGCGCCTGGGGAGGGGCAGGCAGCTGGGGTTCAGTCGGAGTGACTCACGCATTGCCCACGTAGATCCTCGGGGTGACCTCGTTGCAGGGCTGGCTCGGAAGGCTGTAACAGCCGCTGCCGTCCGAAAGCAGATCGTTGAGGTCCTCCACTGAGAGCTCGCACGGGCGCGCCATGGCGGCGGCCGGGCCCTGCACGCCGGGGCAGGAGCGAGCGAGGGGTACAAGCGCCGGGTCAGCTGGGCTGGGGCTCCAGCGCCCAGACCCGCCCCGTCCCGCCCCTGGGGCGGGCCCCGCCATGCGCGGGAAGCTGCGGAGCGCCAGGCGCCGCAGCGCCCGCAGCCACCTGCGCTCCAATTTGCAGAAATACGGCGCCGCTAAGCGCCGAGCGAACACTCCGGAAGACCCCTGGGCCTGTCGCCGGGGGCAGTAATACCGCCACTCTGGAGTTTAGGGGTCCTTTCCCCACCATCAGCTAAGACATTATCTTTGTAAACTGGGAAGTGCAGTAACTTCGTTCACTGAACCAAATGCAGGACGCAATAAATGCTACTATTGACGGGGGTGCACCCACGTGTCGCTTAATTTTCTGGATAACAGGGACCCCCCGGGTTCCGTTTCTGAGCTCTAACTCCGCTGTGGACCAGCAGCGTTGACATCACCCAGGAGCTTGTTAGAAATGCAGAATCTCGGCTCCAGCCCAGACCTCCGGAATCAAAATGTGCAATTGACAAGATCCCTATGAAAATTAAAGTTTGAGAAGCCCTGCTCTGGGGCGCACCAGCTTCCAACATTCACTGAGAGTCCACATCGTGCTTAAAAGCTTGGAATCTATGCAATCAGGCTTGGAATTCTGACCCCGGGGAATGAACCTTTCAGAGCCTCACTTTACTGGAAAATGAGCATAATAATAATACCACCTAACTCCGAGGGTTGTTGGAAAGGTTAAATGTGACATTCAAGGAAAGCGCCCAGGATGACATACTGAGCACTCAGTGTTAGCGCTTCCTTTCATCATCAGCAAACATACTGAGCACCTGCTATGTGCTACACCTGTGCTAGTGTGGAGCTGAATCAGGTTCTTTTGCAACGCTTTCTGGAGCAGCTTCCAGCCCACTCTGAGCCACACAGTGCCCACAACTCTGCATTTACTGAACTCCCAATATGTGCAAAAAACACAGTCTCTGTCCTTGAAGAAAGGACTCTCCCTCACTGCCAGGAAGATGCAGACGCCCTTCCTAAAAGAGCAAATATGGTCCCTGGAATTCAGGAAACCGACATCCTGAGTCCAGCTCTGCCACTGATTTGCTATGTGTTCTTGGGCAGCTTCGTTGCTGCTCTGGATTTTAGTTGCCTCATCTGCAGAATGAAGGAATTGGATTAGGTTATCTTAAAGGTCATCTTTCACCCCCAAAAAGCTGTGGTCTCACACTTTCAGGGAAACCAGTGCAAGAGAGACTACTCAGTTTATAGCCCCAGATATGGAACCAAGGTTGGAATTTCTTTACCTGTGCATTCTCTCCCCTCCCAGTAGGCCGCATCTTTTCCTTCCGGTGTTAGTGGCATCTGCAGACCAGGCAGGCGGGAAAGCTTCCTAGTAGTCCCTTGCCCCTCATCTTGACTTGGACCTAGGTTCGCATTCAAGACAGCAGCCCAGGGACAGCCAGGCAGGCTCTGCTGTGCCTATGCCTTTCCTGACACCTGTCCCTGATGTCATAACTGGGTAACTATGACAACCTTTTATGGGACAGTTAAGCACTTCACAGAGGAGCCTGGGCGCCTCATTTCTGAAGTGAGATTAGGAAGAGAAGATGAATAATTCCTTGGATTACCTGGCCTACCCTGTAATTGTCTCTAATCACAGGCAAAGCACAACCTTCAGGAGGAAACTGGACTTTGGCCACTATATATCTCACAAGAATAGAATACAAATAGGTACGTGGGCAGTTTGGGCTGGCTATTGCTATTAGGGGTTCTGGAAAGGTCCACCCACAGAGATACTGACAGTAAACCAGCCCAGTACACAGATTTGCAATGATATAACCTTATCTGCTGAGTTTGGTTAAGTGACAAAATTCATCTTACACCAGGGAATTCATCTGATGGAAACAGCCATTTAATGTCTTAAAGCCAAAGTAACCTAGAAGAGAACAGGACTTCAGCACCCAATAGATAGCCTAGTAACATTAGGAGGGGGTGGGAGAGAGCTCTTTCGTTGGATTAGCAGGACATTTATCTCTGTAAATTTTACTTTTTCTAGCCCTCCTCATTCTTTCTTTTCTGCTCAAAACTCTTCAAAGGTGTCAATTGGAGAAATTAAACCAGACTAAAATTCTTGAACTGGATTAAGCTCAGAATTCAAAATCATAAAGTTTACTTGTTGGCGTCCTTATCTAGTATGTTAGCAGGTTTTCTGAGGCTGCTCTGAGGACTCCTGTGTGATAACGTGGCTCTCTTATCCCTCTTCTCTAGTGAAGCCTGCTGTTGACACCAAACCTCCAGCAGCGCACACACATCACATTTTAAAATTGAGCAAACTACAGGTATTTGTTCTTGTCATCTGCAGATGCATTTTACTAATTTTTCTCTATGTCCTGGAGTCCCTGGTGAATGCAATTCGCTGCTAAGTGAAAGGTTGGTGGTTCAGGTCCATCCAGAGGCACCTCAGAAGCAAGGCCTGGCGATATACTTCCAAAAAATCAGCCATCAAGAACCCTACGGAGCACATTCCTACTCTGACACACATAGGGTTGCCATGAGTCAGAGGTGACTGGACACAAACCAAACAGCATGGTTGGTTGGTTGTTATCTCTGTCCTGAAGAGTCTGATGTCCCGGAGCCTTCTAAATACCCACCTGACCCAAAGATTTATGAATACACCGCCTCCCCCTCCACAGCACCCCTAGTTTCCTAATCTCTTTTCCCAGTCTCCGCAGTGGCCACTCAGTTTGCCCCTTTGCCGCTTCCCCAGAGAAGGTGATGCTAAGCCATTGTGTGTTGGAGCAGTGTAGTGATGTCATCATGGTGGGGTGGGGTTTCTTACCAGGGTGAACAAAAGAGAATCGACAAAATCGAATATGAAAACAAGCAACTGTGTCAGAAAATCGCAAATGCCCACCGCGGCCCCGCCAAGGTGGACTGTTGGAACGAGTACTTTTCCAAGAGGTAGTGTTCTTCCTCTTCATTTCTGGAAAGTCTTAGCCCCTTGTTGCGTTTTAGTGCTAGGATCCCCCAAGGGAGAGAAACACTTAAGGGAAGTGATCTTGAGGGAACACCAGAGAGACCATATTAAGGAGAATGAAAACTACAGACAATGGGGCCCTTTCTCCAGCTCTAAAGAGCTATTTCTTCTCATCTAAGAGACAGGTCTAGAGTTTGTCGTAAGAATACACTGAATACTTTTGTAAAATGATGACATAGCTGTGACTGTGACACAGCATTCTTAAAATCAGTTCCACAAATCCTTTCCTGACCACCTACCATGTGCTAGGCAACTGGAATACAGACAGATGAGAGATATATTTCCTAACTTCAAAGAACTCCTGGCCTGGTTGGGGAGACATTTATATAAATAATAACAACGCAGTGTGATTAGGGCCAAAGAATTTAGCAAGGGCAAGAATTCAGTGGGTGTGTATGGGTGTGTGTGGGTGTGTACGCAGGAGCATCCAGATGCCTTGCCTGTATTCTTGATTATCTGAACAGAGTTGAAAGCTGAGGAGAGTGAGGTGACCGGAAGCTTGTCTCCAGCCATTTGCGATGTAGACCTCCCTGGATCACATAAACCTGAGAGTCTCAATCCTGGGTTCACATTACAACCACCTGGGAATGTTTACAAAATACAAATGCCCAGGCCCCACCCCCGACCCATCAAGTAGAATCTTCCAGTAGCAGGCAGCTGGGTTGAGAACCACTGATGTAAACCTGCAAATGCTTCGCAGGTTTCCCACAGCACAGTGCGGTTCAACAGCCAGGCAAAGCCAAGTATGCTGAGGCCTCAGGGTTCAGGGGGACAGTGTACAGCCCACCTGGAGGCAGCCTGCATTTACGACATCATGACTTCCTCTCCTCCCCCACTCCCATCCGGGAAGAGCTTTTTTCTTCTTCACGCATCTCAGGGTTTTTGTGTTTTTCAGCTTAAACCGAGAAACAAGGAACCGGGAGCTAGTGAGAATCACCATGGAAAACCAGGGCATTTTGAAGAGGCTTGGCGATCGTAAACCCCACTATGACCGCAGGGCATCCGAGAGAGACTGGCAGGCACGTGGGCACTCTTGTTATTCCCATGCACACACACACGGTTCCTGTGTTCAGAGTAAAGAGGGTCTAAGGAGGGACGCCTGGGCAGCTGACAGCCAGATCCTGTGAAATGCAACAATGATTCAACGACAAACCACCCAAAGCAAGCAGAGCTAACAATGCAAGCAAACAGCTAAGGAAATCTCCTTGGTGGCAAAGCTGTTATGTATCCATTTCAGCAACTAGTTTATAGCCTCATCCCTCATCCCTTCATTCATTCAGAAAGGCAGAATGTACACGGGGAGAGGAGGGTGGGTACAGGATTCAATTTGGGGTTGCTTTGCTTCAGTTCGGAATGACCCTTCCAAAAAAAAAAAAGCCATCTCCAGTGTTTTAAAATACCTGCAATCTGTGGCTTTGGTCTGTAAACCTTTTCTTAGCCATCCTTAGGATTTAAAACTTCAGCTTTAGCACCAGCCCTCTGGCACTGAAATAAATCTAACTTTTTTCCTTTAAGAATTCAAGGCGCTATATCAGAAATACAACAAGGTACCTTCTCTCCCGAGATGAATAGGTATGTCTTAACACGGCTGCTCCTGACCACAGAACACAGTAATCCTAGCTGACACAAAAGCCCTAATAACCGTATGGATGGAGAACTAGGGGCCCAGTTAAGGGGATGACTTCTGCTCTTCTCATGTAATATTGACTGGCCGTTCAGCGGGGGACTGAGAACTCTCCATACAGCTAGGAAATGACATTGTCTTTTTTTTCTTTTCTTCTAAATTTCGTTTATTTTGTTGTAGAGAATATACACCATATACCGATGTGCAAAACATACACCAATGCAACAGTTCCTACGTGTGCAGACATTGTCTTCTGTCATTAGCTTTGAGATTTTCTCATCCCATTTAGTTGGTCATCAGCTTTGAGGAGAAGTGATTTGTTCCAATCAGACATAAACAGGAGGCTTGAATGCTTGTTTTCCACATTTCATTTTCTCTTGGCTTTAATGTTGTGCCAAAGTTATATATGGGTTTCCGTCACTATTCAAAAGTATGGCCAGCTTGGCATTTTGTATTATTTAGTGTTATTAGGAATGACTAAGTGTTTTTGTTTTGTTTGAGGGGTGGGGATAAGTGGACACCCAGGCTTTCCAAAGAACAGTTCTGTATAATTAATGCTTCTCCCCATCTCACTCCCACTAAATACAAGGTTCGTCACCACGGAAAAAAATACAAGGCGGCCCTAGGATTTCTTAGCTGCTTAGAATCTCAAGACACTCCCAAGCGGCTGAATGCTCAGTCTTAGGATGCTACAATAAAGCTTGGAACATAAAATGAGTAAGTTACATTAAAGGTACCCAAAGGTTTTAAATCCTCATCCCAATCTGGAGACGGAATGAGGGAGGAAGAAGGAAAGATGCATTTTTATTTGGGGCTTTGCAAAGAACTTTTAACACTGGGGAGAGAGAGAGAGAGACAGCGAGAGAGAGAGAGAAACAGCGAGAGAGAGAGAGAGAAACAGCAAGAGAGAGAGAGAGACAGCGAGAGAGAGAAAGAGAGACAGCGAGAGAGAGAAAGAGAGACAGCGAGAGAGAGAGAGAGAGAGAGACAGAGAGAGAGAAACAGCGAGAGAGAGCGAGAGAGAGAGAGAGAGAGAGAGAGAGAGAGAAAACTCTATAAACTCTTTCAAACACATACATTCACCACCATCCTGGGGGGAAGAAAAGGGGCGGGGTGAGATGGTCCAGCCACAAGTTCAACAATCAAAAAGGGGATAAAAACACATGACAAAATTAAGGTTCAGACAAAACAGGGAACAAATGTCATTATTTGTCAATACACAAAACTGGAAAAGAATGCTTTGTTGAAATTTCCATGTACGCTATTCATTTATGGGGCAGCAACAGTCAAACTGTCAAAAATATCTAAAAACACATGATGAGACAATGCTGCATGATTGGTCCTGCTGACTTTGAGTCTGACTTTTTTTTTTTTACTTTTTATTTTGAAATAATTATGGATTCACAGGAAGTGCAAAGGAATGTACAGGAAGGTCTCACGCATCCTTCACCCATCCTCCCCTAATGGTTATACCTTACGTAACTATATTACAATCCCAAACCAGGAAATCGACGTTGGTACACTCCATATAGCATATTGGATGTGCACCGTTTGTGGAAGTGTGTGTTTAGCATTTTGCAATTTTATCACGTGTAGCTTCGTGTAACCACCACCACATTCAAGATACTTAACTGTACCGTCATCGAAAGACTCCCTCGTGCCACGCTATTAGCCACAGCCACTCTTCCCCCCGCCCCCATTCCTAACCCCTGACAATCACTAATCTGTTCTCCGTCTCTACAATTATGTTATTTCATGAATGGAATCATGCAGTATGTATCCATTTGAGATTGGCTTTTTTCATTCAGTATGGTTTCCTTGCAGTTCATCCAAGTTGTGGCATGTAGCAATAGTTCATTTCTTTTTATTGCTGGTATGAATGTGCCACAGATTGTGTAACCATTCACCCACTGGAGGACATTTGGGTAGTTCCTAGTTTTTTGGCTATTACAAATAAAGCCATGCACTTTGGTGTACAAGTTTCTGCATGAAAGTCTCCAGGATAAACAAGAGAGCAATTTCTGAGTCCTATGGTAAGTCCTTTTTTTTTTTTTAGTTTTAAAAGGAACTGCAAAATTATTTTCAAAAGTGGCTGCACTATTTTACATTCCCACCAGCCATTTATGAGTGATCCAGTTTCTCCACAGCCTTGTCAGCATTTGATGTTATCAGCATTTTTTGGTTTTGATACGTGTGTAGTGATATCCCATCGTGGTTTTAATTTCTCTAATGGCTAATGACGCTGAACATCTTTCATATGCTTATCTGCCATCTGTGTATCCTCTTTAGTGAAATGTCTGTGTATGTCTCTTGCCCATTTTATAACTGAATTGCTTGGGGATTCTTTTTAACATTGAATTTTGAGAATTCTTTATATATTCTAGATACAAGTCTTTTGTCAGCTATGTGGTTTGCAAATATTTTCTCCCAGTCTGTAATGTCTGTGCATCCTCTTTAACAGGGTCTTTCACAGGCAAAAGCTTTTCATTTTGATGAAGTCCAATTTGTTAATGATGGAACTGTTCTGTGTCTTGACTGTATCAGTGTTAATAGCCTTGTGATATTATACTATAGTTTTGCATGAGGGGAAACGGTAAGGAGTACATGTGATCTAGCTGTATTATATCTTACAACTGCATGTGAATCTATAATTATCTCAAAATAAAAAGTGTAATTTAAAGAAAAAAAATCAGTATGTCCAAATATAAATTATTAACTCTGGCTCCAGCTAACCTCAGTTAGAGGAACTACCATTCTTTCAGACATCTGGGCTAGAAATCGGGGGGTCACCCTTTACTTCACCCGCTCTCTCTCATCCTTCCCCCCTCCCTGTTATGTGCTGTCAAGTCGATTCCAACTCACAGTGACCCTGTAAGACAGAGTAGAACTGTGCATACAGTTTCCTAGGCTGTAATCTTTACGGTAGCAGATCACCGAATCTTTTCTCCAGCAGAACCACTGGGCTGCTAACCAAACAGCCGACCTTTCCGTTAGCAGTCAAGTGTTAAATTAACCACTGAGCCACCATCTAACTCCCCCTCCCTACGTATCTTAAATATATAAGTCCTACTTCTCAATCTCTGTATGTGCTATTGTCAATATTTCAGGTACTTGTGATTTATGGCTAGTGTTACTGATGCAAAAATATGCCCGTATCACTTTCTAGCTTGACATCTTCAGTGACTTACCATTCCTTCCAGAACGAGCCATAGCTTTAAATATGACATACAAGGCACTCCATGATTCCCCCACCCCACCTGTGCCGCCTCTATCAATATGAATTCTTAGTTTCAAGCAACAGAAACTGAGTCTGCAGTGAAATAATTTATTAAAAGAAAATGAATTCATTCTCAATACCTCCTAGAAAACTGCAGAACCAGGCTTCAAGCTGCACATCCAGGAACAGCACCCACAATCTTGCAGTAGGACTGGCCTGGAAGTGCTGTGGGCCTTACTGCTACCGCCATTTCAGCTAGAACTAGATCTTACTAAACCGGTACTGCTGCCTTTGAAAAGTCCTCATTGTCCCTGCGGTTCTGTGTCCCCAGTCCCCAATTCCAAACCACTGAAGGTGTACCGGATTGGCAGAATGAGTCTTGGAATTAGCATTGACACATGTTCCACCAATATATATTTGTAAGCAGGTGTATTTTTTGGAACAACACTCTTCTGTCTCTGGGACCCTTTCCTTTCTATCCCCACAGATCCAGTAGCACACGAACAGCTGTAGACACGGCTTGCTTTGGGGGGTGGGGAAGCTACTTCGACAGGAAATAAAGCAGGCACCACATTCTCATGCCTTGCTTCATAATATATGACAAGAATTACTACCATTTCATCTGACGATTATGTAGAAATATTAAATAGCACAACATGTCTGTTGAGTGGTATGAAGCTCAAAATAAAGTGAACTCATGTCGTGTGGTGTTCACCCACTGTGTGCCAGCACTAGAGGAAAAGCCACCCAGGTGGGACTTACTCAGTGGTAGTTAGGGTCTCCACCACGGTGTCTTGCTAGGGGATTTTAAAAGTGATTTTGACCATGTGTGTTTTCTGCCTTATGAGCTGACTTTGGATCCTGGCTCCCCTGTATAACACACAACTTCGTATGTGCCATTCACACTTCAAGGGGCGGTCCCCCTCCTTGTCCTGGTTCTCTGCTGAACAACTCAAGACCAGTTTCACTTGATAAGAATCCAGTTTCTGTAGGTATGAAGAAGTCCCCATGCTTTTGCTAGAAAGTTCTGTAGAATGTGATTCTATTAGGTGGACCGACCAGGTTACTGAGCTATAGAGTTGTGAAGGTGTCCTTCTGTATGAAGGAAAAGTAGAAATTTCTAAATGAGCAGCAAACCTTCTCCCTGATGCTTCCCTTTAACCTGGTCTCCTCTTCTTCTCGTGAGTAAAAGGGCTTGAAAGTTTACACCCATGTAAGCAGTCTCTTTTCGGTCTTAGAAGTTATGGCCACACTGTCTATGATTGTAAATTCTAGTTATGAACGTGTTCCTCGCTTTTAAGTCGATTATTTAACCAGCAGCCTCAGTTGTTGGTGTTCTTGGTTGCCACTGAGTCGATTCCGACTCATGGCGACCCCGTGTGTGCAGAATAGAACTGCTCGATAGGGTTTTCAGGGCTGTGACCTTTCAGAAGAAGATTGCCAGGCCTGTCTCCTGAGGCGCCTCTGGGTGGGTTTGAACCACCAACCTTTCTGTTACTAGTCCAGTGCTTAATCATTTGCACCACCCAGGGACTCCTTTAGGACCACAAAAGAACAAGGCAGTATAGTGTAGTAGTTAGTGGCCAGCTCTGGCATTAGGGAGACTTCATCTCAAATACCAGCAATGACACTTTTTTAGCAGCTATGTGAACTTGGACAAGTTATTTAAACTTTCTAAGCTTTGTTTTTCTTGTTTGTACAATGAAGATGACAAGAATCCCTACCTCATAGGCTTGGTCTGAGTATTTGTCAAGGCACAGTATGTATATAAAGGCCTTAGTACAGCACCTGGCACAGAATAAAGGCCTACAAATCTTTGTTATTAATAAGAAATAAAATTTTCTGAGCAGCTAAGATATCACAAATCCTAGGTGACATTACCACTTTTGCTCAGGGAAAACCCATTAGGCCCACACTCAGAGTCTATAGACTTTCACATCGTCAGAACTGATTTATTGTGTTTCAGATGTAATTGGACAATTTTGATGGGGGAGTCATCTGGTTTCCCATCATCAAGCACAACAGGAGTCCCTAGAATCTGAAAGTTAGACAGGCTAGAGCCAGGACGACTGCCAGTAACAAGTGGGACAACTGATGGAATAGAAGGAATCAAAAAAACCAGATACATGAGCTCCACTTTAGGAGTCTGAGGGTATTTAGAAAGAGGACAAGCAGCCTTACATTCTTCAAGAGTCCCTGAAGACACTACTGTATCATAGAATAGGACAGTCATTTATGTTGATAGTAAAGTGTGGCTTAGTCTTCCAGAAAAAGTTAATGTATGCTCACTACTTAAAAAGGCAAAGAAGCAAGTTATTTGTTAACAGGCAAGCATTCGCTATTAAAAAGGTTAAAATCGACATTTTAGCACTTGAAGCCAGGGAGCTTCAGTTGTGTGGACAATCCCTTTAGGTAAAACAAGACAGCTTCCAACAAAGCTGGATAAAGGAAGTGTCACTATGTTTATAAAGCTTAAAAACATCACCGCACAT